GTTGCGGACATGATAGGCTTTGCCACAACAGCACATCATATTCTCACAGGATCAATGTGGAGGCTCAAATCACAGTGGTGTGCTGATTTACATTACTATGCTACCAAGAGCCAGTGGTTTTAATTATAGAGGTTGCATTAAGGATACCTAGGCATTTTCAAAACCACACTTATTTGCTTTTTTGCCAAAAGCAGTCACATGCCATGCTAGATATGAGCAATTGTATGCTGATTTACACACTTGGTACGCATTGTACATATCATTAACTTTGGCTGCCACTTGAGAATGTGTTGACTAAGGACTGAATAACTAACATGTTCAAAATGTCATACAGAAACAGACAAGCAGAATATAATATTACTCATCACTGACACACACACACACACACACACACACACACACACACATATACAGCATACACGAATGTACCACTTGTAGAGAATGAATACAGTGAGCTTGATTGTGAAATGTTTGGACAGTTTCCACTGTGCCTCTGGGCACAGTTCAGTGTATAGAGGTTGTTGTGATTAGTCATTAATCACTCACTCAGCAGCAACTGAAATACATAAACTTTACAGTATGTACTGCACCCAAGTTGATGTTTATCTGATTCATTTATCAGTCGATGAATCTACATTTGGAAGATGAGATTCTGCTTCCTATAAAGTTTCATTAAAAAGTTTTGATGACAAAAGTCAAGGGAATGTCGTGACTCACGATACTGGAAATGGGGCTCTGGTCGAAATGTTCCTGGCTTGGATGTTCAGAAGATACTGTAAAGTGTGACTGTGACTAAATCATAGTCTGAAGTGACACTTTCTTTTCTTGTCCCGTCGTTGCACGTTTTTCACATTTTCTCTCGCTTTGTTTCTCGAGCAGGGGCTCTGACACTCTCTCTGGCACGTTGTCTGCTTTAGTGTGTAAAGCTGTAGAGCTCGAGATGTGTCATCAGTCATCTGTGCTGTGAGCCGATGGGGCGAGCGAGCAAGTGCTTCAAACAGGGCTCCTTCTGCAGGTGTGGGATCAGAGGTCCTGTCCACACTGAAATCCTTTCCACTCCCACTCGACTCATCACCCCTCTTCTCTCTCATGACTTTTTTTTTTTTTATCCTACACTGTATCTTGGGTGCTTTTTGAACTCCATCCCAACATTTATTACTTATCCCACTCCACATTTGCTACTACTATGACCAGGTTTCTTCAAGCATGGAGGCACACATGTTTACAGCAAAATCCCTGAGAACTAAGTCATACCTGTAGCTAAATGTACAGAGAAATGTGTGTTTCTGGGGAACATAGACAAATCAAACATGTTTAAATTGCTCACTAATGTATTTTCTCATAGAATGTTGTTTTATTCGGCATAAAACAACATTCTAGGCAATACCAGACTCAAGGTTACATCATTGTTGAATTGTATTTGTGCTTAAATCCTTTTTAAATCTATTTTGTGATGATATTATCTATACATTTGTCATATTGCATGCATTCACATACTGACATGCACAGGCTCGAGAAAAAGGACATTTTGAAATGTGTTTTTATTTAATAATGTCTTATTAATTTTTTAATACTGAACACTTTGGGTCATAGGTTATACTTGTTCCTTATTTCTATGAATCTTGTCTCTAAGTTTGAACATGAGTCTGCAGTCAAAAGTCAATCTCACCCACCAACCTGTCTGTGCACACCATTCAAATGGCTGAACATCCAAATAATTCAGAAACTTTATCCACTCACTGAAACCAGCACTTAGGCTGCAATCAATACTGTCTGAAAGATAACATGTAAATCAAATTAGAGACACATAAAGATCTGGGCCGTGTTGTTAAAACCAAGAACAGAGAAGGGTTATAGCTGGTCAGTCCATATCAGTGCCACCATGTTTGCATCATTTCTTCGACAAACAAAACATAAGAATTTTTCTTGTTCTGATTCTACATGGCCATGTGTCAAATGATTGGTCAAGTAATCACAGTCTCACTAGTTTCGTGGGAATTAGGGCTAAGTGATGCTGTACCTTATGTCAAAAAAGTGTGATGTTAATCAAATCTGCACCTCACACACTTTTCCTTTGTCTGCTGTATGTTTGTCTGTGCATGTTTGTATGAGCACTGCCCACTTATTTTGGAGCCACCCTTACATCTGTCAGCGATAGAGACGGTGCTTGTATGTTTTACAAGCATTCATTCGCACCGTTTGTATCAGCATGTAAAGAATGCAGGCATCTCTGTGTGTCAGCTTCCGGTGGTAATGTTGTGAGCGTCGCGTTGCGATGGCCGGTGAGGTGTGTCTACCCCACTCGCAACCACTCAGGGTGAATCAGGAGGAAATGGTGGCAGGAGAACAACAGCAGCAGGATGAGCACGTCGGGCATGGTTCATTTTTCTCCCGAGGCAGAGGGCGGCCCACTGGTGACTTTGACGGATAGGAATGTTGCTCACCCACACACACACACACGCCCACACATGTCCCACACACTCAAGCTCTCACACAACAACTCGTGTGCTGTTGCTCGTGCATGGACACACATACGCAAACTCGCAGATGGGTACACGCACAATCACACACAGGCGGCTCTGTCCCACCAGATCTGATATCCAACGTGAAATGTTTACGACCCGCCCACACGGCCTTCCTCCCTTGTCAATAAACTCTTCCCAGAAGTATGTGTGATACATTATCATGTAGATGGCTGCATATGGGGGTTGCTCTTGCACCCTCCATCACAGGATTATCCATGTGCATCCCACTGCACCATGCAGCACATAGAGAAAAACATTTGGCTTTTAAGCTGCGTGATGATTAATTTGTGCATTAACACAATTCTTTTACTTAATCACATTGTGATTTGTCACATTAGCACAGATAGAATGGGGGGTCACACTGTACCAGCTACTGGGGATTAAAACAAATTACATACTGAAAGAAGGTCTCAACTCAAAATGCTAAAAAACATGTCCTCTACTTTACTGAACAATGAAAAACTGCCAATTACAAGACAATGTCAGGATCAGGGTTACATGTGGTGAGGGTTGCACCTTTGTCACAAAACATATCAGCTTGTCAGCTCAACTACAAAGTCTAATTCAGGCAAAGAAGGTCAGAGTGTTCTGCATGACCAGAGCTGTGTTGACAGCTAGACCTGCTGACGAGCACAGCCAAGCCGTCTCATGGCTGAAAGAAGAACTTGACTCTCAAGCGGCCAGAGTGACACACATCAACGCACATTGGCTTCCTCTGTGTATGAGAGTCTTGTACACACAGATCCTGTAATGTGCTCCTGCCAGCAAGACAAGCATCAAAACAGGCTATGGAGCGAGCTAATTCAAAAGCGCAGCATTTGACTCGAACAAAGGGTTGGGTTTCAAGTAGAGGAGGGCGTTTAACCAACTCCTTTCACTTTGTTCCACTGAATCAGCATCTCCCAGAGAGAAATAGAGAGATGGAGACTGATAAAGAGCAAGAGAGGGAGCTGTTGGGGCTAGGCATAGACAGGCACCTTTGTCTGATCGTGGAGTCTCTGGGAGATAACGGCAATGTTTCTTTTGAACACACACTGCTTTGTCTCTCTCCCTAAGACACACAAACACACACACTTACACGAGGATGATTCAGTTCTCAGACAATGTGATAATATGCTGGTAGGGCAAAACGTCCCCTGCACAGCAGGGAGGAGTGTGTCTCTGTAATCAGACAGACAGTCTGTGCTGGTCCTGAGGCTGGAAGGAAGGACAGTTCTTGGCTGGTGAATGTGAGCTGACTCTGAGGCAGAGTCAGGTCTTTTTTTCTTTCCTTTGACACATTGCACAACATCTCTCTTGTCCTTCAGGTGAACCTTATTGTGATGATTATCACACATGTGAGCTACATGGACGCAATCAGTGCACAGGCATTATACAATAGCCTGTCCTGACCCACAGTATGTTTACATTCAGTGCTGGAAAGTACATTTACTCAAGTACTGTAGTTAAGTACACATTTAGGGTACTTGTACCTGAGTAGTTCCATTTGTACTACTTTATACTGCTACTCGAATGCACTTCAGAGGAAAATATTGTACTTTTAACATTCCTTTATTTATCTATATATCTATACTTACTACATACTTTGCAGATATAGACTTTGTAATATGGTAGGCTAAACTTATAAAAACTTAAAAGTATAGTGTATTTTTTATAGATTAAACAATATGCTTACATGTGAATGCATCAGTAATAATAACATTACTACAATCTTACAGGATTATGAAAGCGGCAGTTCTACATAAGGATTTTTTGACATTTAACTGGCAATACTTACTAAGAATTTAATATGTACATTTACTTTTATGTTTTATACTGCGATATTTCTACTTTTACTTAAGAATCTAAATAATTCTTCCGCTACTGTCTATTTGGTTAATAGCCTACAACAATGAGCGGTATTTCTGTCAATATTTCAGAAGCAAGACTGGTTTTGCTAGCATAAATAATACTGATTTAACCTATTTTTTGACAAATATCCATAAAATTCCCCAAAACAAGTGAATTTCCTCAAACACAGAAGTGCAGTTTTTGTTTATCGGTGTACGTGCCCTCGTATCCAGGGAGCCTGTTTACCTGCTCTGTTGCCCAGTGACATATTTCTCTATGTCGTCTAAGTGTGGCAACACCCCTGACATCGCCAAAGCACTCATTTCATTGACTCTCTGTTAAGGTGGTAGGCCACAGGCTGGTGGTGTTTTGTTTCTATTTAGATATCTGCTCCCATTAAAAGCCTTATTCTGCTGCTCGGAGAGCCACGGCATTGACACAGTTGGATATCTTTATCTGTTGCCGCTTTGCGTAGGCACATTCTTTCCCACCGGCGAGAACGCGTTGAACAGCGAAGCAAGGCCACCTTAAATCACATGCTGACACACCAAGAACTCTACTCTCCACCCATCTCCGAGAAGAGTCCGTAAAGAGGTGTCTCACCTTCCCAACTACGCGCTTATTATCACGAAAGAAACCGGTACAGCAACAACACGCGGAGGACACTTAGAACACAACTGCATCTCCTCATTGGCCAGCAGTCCTGAGGTCTGGTGCGTAATGCCGCGCGCTGGGCACGCACGGACCCATCAGAGAATTTACTGAAGAAAAATCTTGTGGATATTGAAGAGTTTGGATTTATTTATCTGAGAGTTTTTATCACGGTCTGGGTTTACATTACATGCCAAAGCTGGGGGAACAGACTGGAACACAACAGACTTCTGCGCGAAGCTTCACAGTTTTCGCCACAATTATTGGTAAGTACACTTCAATATCACGCCCAAGTAACTCTGTTAGGATTTTATTTTTATAGCATATTAACTGAGATGCTAAGTGCCCCCACAGAAGTTTGACATAGGCCATATTGCGTTGGTGGGTAAGACATTGATCGGAGCAATGTAGTCGATTACGGATCGATAAAAGCATGTTGTCAAGTGATTGGATGAGCCTCCTTCCATGTAAATTCAGTGGGCATGATTAACTTAATAAGGCCGGTATTGACGACAGGAGAATGTCACTGTTAGTGTAAATTATAATTGGTAGCTGACAGTAAGTCGCTGCTGATGTCGTCTGTTTAGAAGCACAATAACAACCGTATTAAATGATACTGGAGTAGTGACAGTCATGCTAACAGTATTGTAGCTCATTTTATGATAGACCCCAAAGCATAAACAAGTGAATTCATATTTTTGAAAGATAAATTCTCGTCATAAAGCCCCAACTGAATTATCTTCCATTGTTAGACACCAGTAAACTATGACTCACTTGCAAGTTTTGATTGTGAAAGTTTCCTCCTTGGCCACTGGGTGGCGACCGAGTATCTGCTTTTTAGTTCTGAAAACCTTACTTGTGTTGCAAGAAAATGTAGGAGTGGACTCTGTGTTGGCTACAGATGCCTGTATATTCTCAATCTATCCCTCTTTGTGTGTAAGCTTCTCTGGTTTGTTTTGTCTATGACATTTTTTGGTTACCTCAGACTAGAAAACATGAACTTCTGCAACACCAGTCACAGCTGCACCTTCTTGCATGTATCAAGTCATATTTAACATTTACCTTTACATGCTGCATTCTCTATCGCTATCTTTTACTGCCACATGTAACACTGTATAGACAGTGAGTTGTCCGGTATATTTCTTCCTGGAGAGTATATCCCTACCAGCGGGCAATTTGCATAGGCTACTATTCCCGATCACTTTAATGGTTTCTTGTATGTTGCTGAGGTCAGGGGAAAGAGAATGGCGTCAGCACTATTAATGGCATTACAGTCCATCTGATAACTTAGATTTACCAGTGAAGAGTGTAACAACTGCTCTTTATATAAAGTCTTTAAAATAGCTGCATCCACACTAGTGTTGATTTGTAGCCTGCTGTAAAGTAAGAGAGTGAAACCTGATCAAAACATTGATACTCTCTTTGATATGGTTAAAAGTTTATTTTCACTAATGTGATGTTGGATCAGAACATTCATTAATTACAATTATCCTGTCCTTTGAATCACTAATCTCAGACCAGTCTGTATCTCTTAACTTACGTAGTTTTTTTTTTTTAAATGATGAATGCTATTTTAAGCCTGTTGCACACTTCACAAGCAAGATGGCCCTCAAATACACAGAATTACAAATTAAAAGATTAATAGTGAGTAAGTTCGTGGTAGGAAAAAGTAAAGAATTCGTCATTTTAATTGGGTCCCCCTCAGATCATCAAGAGACCTCCAAAGTAACCTCAGTAAAGGAACCACGGCTGTAGGCTACTGTGGTAAGGACACATATTTTGTTCTATGCTGTAATTTATTATGAATGGCCTAAACTCGCTTGCCCTCCACGTGGGTGTGGATCTCATCTTCCTATTGGCTGATAGCAGCAACGTCCTGAAGGAGCTCTCCTGTGATTGGTCTGACCGCCCCGGGGCTGTGGGCGTATTTTATCGATGGTGGAAGTGGGATACTTTGTGACAATGTTCATTGTCGATATTTCACCGGAGCTGCCGTGGGTATGAGTGCTCGGCGAAGAGCCTCTCACTACTAGCCGTGTGAGGCTTTGCAGCTTACGGAACGTGTATTTTCTCCTCTAAAGCTTGCAAAAGCTTTCAAAACACCAAGAGGAATTTATGTTATTTTTTATTAGACCTCGCAGGTTTTGTTTTAAAGGTAACCTCTTACGTAAATGAGTGTCCGTGGCATTTTTTGCTGACTGCATACTTGCGTCTCTGCCAGGCATTTGCACATCTATGTAGCATATAAGAAGACTTTTGCTGGCACACCGGAAAGGGCAACATTAAAGAGAAAGATCAAACGAAGAAAAAAAAGAGCTTTATGTAGTTTACTTTCCCGGGGGAATATTCTCATGATATCGACCGGAGAGAAGACGGATTGGGTTTTATTCTGACTCTCGGAGAGCGAGAGAAAGGAGGCACCAAGAGCTAGAGCGAGCGAGAGAGAGAAAGACAGAAAGCTCTCTGAATGCAGCATTTGATTTGCAAGCAGAACAAGGGACGGTAGCCGAAGGACGGATCCGCTTCACCATCCTCTTCACCCTCTTCATCCCCGGCTCTGCTCGTCTTGTCTCCCCCTTATCTGACCACAGGTTATCGGATGGACCAGCATCCCAGCGCCCGGAGCTGCACCAGTCGCGGGGCTTCGTCCTGCGAGGCCGTCCCGACTGAACCCTCCATGAATCTGTACATCCACTCCACCACCGGCACACGATTCGAGCTTTCCCTGCCCCTGGAGGAGACCGTGGAGGGACTGAAGAGGAGGCTATCGCAAAGACTCAAAGTACCAAAAGAGAGACTCGCTCTGCTACACAAAGAAACGTGAGTAAACCTCATATAAGCATGATTGAAATGTGTTCACTGCAAGTGCCTTTCTGTACCGGGAAAAGAGTCGTAAACATTTAATTATGCTCTTGTGTTAAAACGCCAGCCTGTGTTTGAGACTTTGTACTATAGACGGACACCATGAGCCATAATGTATAGGCTATTCCGCAGTTCAAAATGTGAATAACCCCAGTTTAGGTGCGTTCACTCTCCGACCCTGCAGTGATATATTTTAATCTATACTTTGTATTTATTCGTGCTTGAGCTCTCGGGAGCTTCAGACACAACCTTGGCTGCTTTGGTCATCAATACATTCAAGGAAACTACTGACCACGGTATTGGAATTACGCATAGGGGACGCACCGGTCACTGGAACAGTATTGACAAGGCGATCTGCAGACTTGCATTGATTCATCCCCCCTTCATTATAAATACCGAAGCCTGACTGAATTGCTAATGCTGTGTGAATCATACACGTTAAACATTGATGAGTACAGTCACACAGACTTGGTAGCCTGTAATTTATTTACTGTGCCACTGCAGGCATACATATGGCTCATCCTAAATATGTTACTGTATAATGGAGGATGGATATATCCTGTGCTTGGATTGGGATCTAAGTGTCTAGTTACATGGCAATAGACAGTATCTTTGGAAGCAGAATAACTCCTTAATGGTTTCAGTGAATTTCTGGGTGTGAGGTGTCGGCTGGCCAGTTTTCTTGAGTTCTCAAAATGCTCCTGGAATAGCACATTAGGACACAACTGCTTGAGTGAGGGAGTAGTTAAACCTTTATAAAATCTTTATTATTTAAAACGGAAAACCTACAGTGTTAGTCGGTTTTCAAACCAATCACACCCAGGTTAAATGAGCTAACAATAGTGCAGGTGGTGTTATGCAAAAAAGCGAGGGGGGGGGGGCTTTAGTATATGCAAACAGTCAGCATTGTTTTTCAGTCCCCCCACCCCACCCCCTACCCCCACCCATTGTAATCACCCAATAAATCACATCATCCTTTAAAACCTGAAACCCCCCTTTTTAATCCCCTCCTGCTCCTCAAACTGTAGACCTACAGTATCTCAGTGCTGAGGGCCTTTGTTCAGCTGCATAGGGTGAGATTTGGGTCATGCTTGTACAGCAGGTTGTCCTAAACAATCTCCATGAGACTATAGGAGGTACTACACCTGGATGTGAGTGGTTTTTAGTGCATCGTGACCTGCAAGATAAAAGCTTTTCCTCATTGTGGAACAGATACTCCCGCTCTGCACCAAACATTAAATAGTAAAGCCCTGTAAATGTATTATATATTACTTGGCTAAACTTTCTTTGGAATTGCAGAAACAACCCTCACATCGCTCTATATTTCAACTGAGGACAATAGATTTGCAGTGTCAACAATAGTTCATGGCTGTACTGTTTATCTGTTCTCATAATCATTAAAAGGGCTGTGGTTTTGGTTTCACCTTGGAGTTTCTGCTTATCATTCGTATGACTCAAAATGCCAAAAGAAAATACTTACCTCCACTTAGGCAAGTGGCAGTGGTGCCAAATATCCACTGCGAGCAATTGTCAAGCTCCACTATACTCGAAATTGAAATATGACAGCCCAATCAATACTTCTCTTTCATGGAGCTTTTCACCCACGGCTCTTTTCGAAACTAGTTTTGAAGTCTGTCTGCCCCCCCTGGCTGAAGGGTGTTTGTGTGTCTGAAGAGAGAAGATATTGTCAGCACAGTCTAATTATCTTGTTCTCTCTAACCCTGCAGGCGACTAAGTTCAGGCAAACTCCAGGATCTAGGCATCTCTGATGGGAGCAAGTTAACACTTGTTCCAACAGTTGAAGCAGGATTAATGGTAAGGCTCACCTGACTGTAATTTCATTTTAGTTTGGGCTCCTAATATTAATTACAAGTACTGTTTATTAGCATTACTAATAAATAGTTTTGCATAGAAATTTCTTTAGATAATTGGTGTATGTGTGTAATTGGAAAATGACTGATTTTTTAATATCCCCTTTTCTTTCTGTGCAGTCTCAAGCATCAAGACCAGAACAGTCAGTAATGCAAGCCTTGGAGAGCTTAACAGAAACTCAGGTAAGAAACAGTTTCTCTGTGTTGACCCTGAAATAATATGGATGTAGCAAAGTTAGTATCCTAACGGTATGGCGGTAATCTAAACTGAGCTATGGACCTTTTGTGTGTGTGTTTGCATGGGGGATATGGGAGGTTATAGCTTTACAGAGAACACCCAGATATGACAGAGACAGAGAGAGAGATGAGATGAGATGAGCAGGCTGCACAAGCACAAGCCTCTTTGCTTGTCTAATCTCAGCCTCTTAAGCAAGCCAAGCCAAGCTAGACATCCAGTGTGAGCTGTTAGGATATAATAAGCAGCAACACCCTCCTGTATCCTAGTAACATCTGTGATAGTGTGTGTGTGTGTGTGTGTGTGTGTGTGTGTGTATGTGTATGTGCATGTATGCCACTGCAGGAAGCCAGAGTGAACACCACACAAGAAAGGCGTATTTGTGAGATGCTGAGAGGACAAGCACATAACACTTAGTTCCACGTTTCTGTTTATACCTTTATCTGTAATCTCTCTCCACTCCCTCTGTGTTTCATGCTCTAACAGACTACACACACACACACACACACACACACACACACACACACACACACACACACACACATGCACAGGCAAGTTTCCAGGAAGTGTGCTGTGGCTACATGGAGATTGAGTGTAGTCTCACTAACTCATAAACAGAGTGCTGGATCATCAGATGACAGCCTTCTCAGTCAGTATTAGCATAGGGTTCCTGGAAGCCTGGCATGTATAGTCTGAGTGGGGCCTACACCCTGACTTACAGTGAAACAGCTATGTAGGCCTAGTGAAATACACTGTGCTTTTGAGTCAGTGTGGCATGACTCACCAAAATGATCAATAGTGAGAGTAAAGAAAAAAAGGCAAATAGTTCTCCGCGCTGGCCGCAGAGAGAGTGCAAGCGAGAAGACAGGCGATAAGGCTGAATGCACACAGACAACACTGTGACGTATGAAACACTCTGCAGCTGACTGACTGACTCAGATCAACTTCCTTTTGTAGCGTTTGGTAACACTGTGATGTACGTAACTGCATCAGTGATGCGCCGCTGAATGATGTCAAAACAGTACGAGATGGTGAAAATGTGTGCGGATGTAAGGAGTTAAGTGTGTCAGCGATGCAGCGGTTACGTCCAGACGAATTTGACCAAAGAACGATTCTCTAAATTTAATGCAATTTTTTTTTTCTCAGAGGATGTGGGCTGTTCAGAGATAGTGGAGTATGGTTGGTATGGCTTCATTCCCTGCTGATAATTTTATGGTGGAAATCCTGGTCATGTTGTGTGTGTGTGAACTCAGCATGCCTCTTGTAGCACCGACAGCAGATGACTGCGTGTGTGTGTGTCTGTGTGTGTGTGTGTCTGTGTGTGTCTGTGTGTGTATGTGTGTGTGTGTATGTCACAGTGGTAGTGGGCTGGAAGGAAGCCTTGCCCATCATGTGGTACGCCTTTGCTGGGCAGCCATGAGTGACTGTCATTTTCACCAGAGGCAGGCGATAATTCAACCACTGAGAGAAGATTTCTCACTCTGCCTTTCTTCTTGCGTCTCTCTCTGGCCACATAACCCTGTAACACTCAGGTTCATTATGAGTCATGTGCTTGCGTTTTTTCTCGAGAATTGCTCACTGTACATTACTGTAGCATGCATATTTATTGTGATGTTAATCGTAATCCTGCAGTGGGGCTAGAAGGAATAAAGGGCACAGCAAGAATGATATCGGGCTAAAAGGTTAAAATAAAGGTATAAAGCTGCTTTAGTGTGTTTTTATCCAGAGAAATTGATTCCTCTTTATAATTCATGAAGCGGAAGGGAATGATATAGATTGCGGAGAGATTACGGATCTGAGTAAGATTAGAAAATAGGAACACAAAAGCTTTCCCTCATCCCCCCCACCCCCAACCCCTCAACTCTGGGGCTATCAAAAATCAATCAATGCACTTAGCTCTTAAAAGTGTCTGACACGATAACTGATATGCCCATACACCCAAAAATAGCCAAGGGGGGATGTGGGTTGGCTGTTAGCTGTGGTAGCCTTAGAAGAAGTGGGTATGAACACCTGGACCTCTTATTACTCTTCACCCCTCCATATATTTTGGTCATGTCAGGTCTGATTTCCAGCTTGGGTGTTTTCCCAGGAAGTGTGTGTATTCATGGAAGCCTGGGCTGAGTATATCACCTTATGTCTTCTCCTTTATCAGAATTCTGGAGGAGTCTGCAGCTAGCAGCTAGCCAACTAGCCAGACAGAACATGACAGTTTCCAGCGGCTGTTTCAGACTTTTGTGGAGCAAGTTAGATAGGAAATATTTTATGGAAATTGAACCCCAGCAATTATCGAAATGAGATTTTTTTTTTTTTCTCCCCGTGCGCCGTCTCCCCCTTTCCCTCCTTTCCCTACTTCTCCCTCTCTTGTTTCTGCTTAACAGCTCTCCCAGGGCCCTATAATTTAAATATGCTGTGGTTTGCAAGTCCAGCTAGCTGCCTCAGTTTGACCGTGATGGCTGGCTTCTTTAGCAAGGACAATCCTGGCTGCCTTAATTCTTCCTCTGGCATCTCACTAGACTTTTTTTGCATGACATGTAAGCTGTATTAAGCCACTGCCTCCTGACAGCCCATCAAAATACAGTTGCCTGCGCCACTCTCTTCTCATTCTGTCTGCTAAATAGAGGTTGTGTGTACAGCTTACTTATGCAGTCATGCACGGGCACGTACACGTACACGTACACGTACACACACACACACACACACACACACACACACACACACACACACACACACCAGAATTGAAAGGATATATTTAAGAGGATTTCTGATCCTGCTCAGTGAATGAGAAAATGTCTGATCCTAGTAGTAAAATGAATGTATACTTACAAGACAAGCAGTGAAAGGGAAATGAAAGCAATATTCACTATTTCTGGGCACATGTAGGCAGTGACATCAGCCCCTCATCTATTGATCTTGGTATTTGACAGAAAGAGAAGGATTATATGTCCCTCTCAGCACACAGGGACGATTTGCTCATTGATGCACATTGATGTTAGAATAAAAGCCAACCAGGCAGGCAGGCATCACCCTTACCATCCCCCCATTGCCCTTCCCCCATGCAGCCCCCTCTTTGTTCCTGTCTTAAAGCATGAGCACCAAACCTGCCCAGCTGACAAACCCTCAAACACACAACAACGATTGAGGGGTCACTCTTTTTAAGTTGGGCTCTCTCCCACGATCCCCTTTCATCCGCCATACATCCATAGGCATCAGCTCTACCCAACTGAGTGCAGCCACAGCAGTGCATACTGGTTTCAAAATCAATGCACGGCCCAGCTGGACCGAGGCTCAGTGGGCTGCAGATTGACAAATTTTGCCTTGAACACTAACACAGATTGCTTTGGGAGGAGGATGTGTGTTGCCATTCCATATGTCCCCGCGGAATACGCTGTTACGTATCTGCTCTACTTTTCTCACTCCCGCTAGCAAGCACCTCCTGTCCTCATCCACTCTTCTCCTCCTCCTCCTCCTCCTCCTCCTCCTCCTCTTCTAGGAACGGCAGACTCGGATATGGCACAGTTTTGTCATTGTGTCTAGAAGCAGACAGATGGAAACTAGTAGGATCTAACAATCTGTGGGGAGTCACCTCTGGGTCACCCTCACCTCATTTCCTCTGCTCTGCCTCCCTCAGGGGGTGCCACAGTGGGCCAGATAGGTGGAGGAGAAAAGAAAGGGAGAGCTTAGCACAAGTCGCTCTGTAAGATGTCATGTCGATGTGTGTGTGCAAGTTCTGCAGGCTGGAGGTAATGGGGAGGATGAGTACACATGCTTGGGTAACTCACAGATGTAGAAATACGGGGGGGGGGGGTCTAATGGAAGGGGGGAAAACAAGACAAAAGAGGATGAAGGCTTTGGCTCTCTACTAGAAAAGGCAGATCTTGGAGAGTGGTGTGCATGTAATGAACTATGTACCTGTGCACATCTGTGTGCTCGTATATGACTGTGTGTAAAACAGCTCAGTGCAGGTGGTCAATATGTTTCTTTTTCCAGCCCTGCACCCTGCCCACCACCTTGTCTAGATGCCAGTTAATCAGCAGGATTGACACTACTGGAAATCATTGAAGAGTAATAGTATTGAGGATTTGGGAGTGCAAGGAATTGAAAAATGACTGAGTCAGCCTGTTGGTCAATATGAGAGGATCCTCCCCTTTTTATAGCATGCAGCTCCCTCTGTCCTTCTCACTGCCATTGAAATGGAGGCTTTTTATATGCATGCAGCTTAAGAGAGGGAGTCCTTGTTCTTTAGAATGGTAATTTGCTTTTTTGTTACTTAAATGAAAGCTACAGAAATTAATTTGTTGCTGAATGTGTAAATCAAATTGTGTATGGAATAAAAGACAATGCTGATCTAAAGGCCCCATTCAGTCCCTGCACATGTAAATCCTGGCCTTGAAAATTGCATTAATAAGCTGATCACGCAGTATTTTTTTGCACCTGTGTAATCCCCTTTGTGATGCTTAAACGCACAGTGGGAGGGGAATGCTGGGACGGGTGGAGGGAATCAAGGTGTGTTGTGGGGCAATCAGGGGATAGATGGATTTTGCAGGGGATTTCATTGTCCTATTGTGTATATGCATCTGCTCACATGTATTTCTTGGTGTGGGTGTATTGTACGAAAAGAGAGAAGAGCAAGATTGAGAACGCACGAGAATATACCCATATCAAATATGCCCTCCTGTGAGTTCCTGGACTCAGTCCTTAGTTGTCTGTCCACACCCCATTCGTACATAAATATCACATGCTTCCAGGAGAAGAATGGAGATACTAAAAGGAAGTTGTTTTTTTTTTGTTTTGCCTGTATCGCGTGTCCTTGGAATGGTGAATCCATAAAGAGTGAAGTAGAAGTACAGTGTTATTTGTCACAATACACTAAGCTGGGAAAAAATTATGTCTTCATGTGGGTCACTTGGGGGGGGGGGGGGGGGGGGTCTTATTTCTCCATATCTGAGTC